AAAAACGATCCAACATTGAAATCTTAAAATTATTCCTCAATTTCGTGATTATGAAAAAAACTTAAAAATCTAAAATTATGAATCTGAAGCCAAATTGAAAACCACTGATTTTAAGTAACACTGCAAAGCAATATTGAAAATGGAGGCAAAATAAGTACGAAAAGTTTATATGCATGTGAATCAACATGGCCATTTGTCTTACCCCTTTTTCAAAGAAACAGTAAAATATATTAGCAGAACTCGAACAATAGTGCGTCTTCGTAAGAACGTAGTATTACGCAGGTGTACGAGAGGATATACATATATATGGAGTTACATTAAAGTACATAATTGAATCATGTACTCAAGTGTCCGTATATATCTGAATAATTGAGATGTAATTATGCTCTATTAATTCGATCTGCGCGTTATTAGACGAATTTCTCATCGCCATAAAACTTGAGCTATTTCTCGAACGATCGAATCGATCCAATTTTGCCTAAACTCGTAAAAATACCAGCCGGTTCTAAAAATAAGCGTAAACATATTTTACCATACCGGTCGGAGCGACGGATCGCAGTGAAACCGAATCTCACTTCTGGGCGCATTTCATCGGAAATACCTGAAAAATACTGATGAAATACTGACCTGATAAAGAGTAGTCGTTATGCCTGCTTTCGGAGTCTCGGATGAGGAAAGCGCCATGCTCGTTTTCTGGTAAAAGTAGTTTTTTCTCTGCCTCGATTCGCTTGATCTTGCGGAAGTACCATCTGAAACAAAACAGACAAACGGATTGTATTATTAGCAGTCGAACATCACAATGAAAAGTGGGAAGCGATATATACCGCACATTCACTTCCGCGTTACTTCAATGGACATTGTGCGGTTATAAACCAGCAAAATTGAACATTGAAATCAATTATACGAAATCGTCGAGTAGGTAACCTTCCATGCTGTATAGTATATAGATAGATATTCATTGAGTTATTCAAAATTTAACAAACAAAAGGAGTAAAAAAAAAAACGAAAGAATAAAAGGCAAAATAAAAAAGGTAATTGAATCTCCACTACAGAATGTCTTAAAAAATTTATCACATGAATAGAAGCACCTTCGTAGTGAAATCTTCAATATAATGATAATAATAATATATTTTATTGTGAAAAAATAACTAAAACGTTTCTAACAAATAATAAACAAGCATTAAACTAAAATTATTCCACTCACAATAAGTAAGATCGTTTTCAGTTAAAACTGATCTTCCATATGACCCTTTCACCATAATCTTAATCAAGAAAAAATGAGAATTTCTATTAATCTAAAATTCTACCATACTGCAACAAAAAAAAAAGAAACAAAAAATCAACAAAAGTATCATTGCCAATTTTCTGAATGAAATTTCTTTAAATTTCATTGGGAAAATTTTATTCTGCTTCAACTTTGCTTTATTTTGTGTGTATTCCACATTCTACGTAAAAGTTTCTCAAATTTATTCAGATCATTGAACACCATACACAACTTTTAGCAATGTCTTACGTGAAATAATATAAGAAATTGATGCAAAATATCTTTCTTATTTGTGGTAAATTCACAGAAAGTGAGTAGGTACTGGGTTTTCATTATGATCAATTGAAAAAGCAAATCCAAGTTTAGCAAAACTTGCATTGATGTTTAATATGAAAATGGAAAAATACTTTTAAATTTATTAAGTATCATATAAAATTTTATATATAAAAAATATCAAAATACATTAAAATGGAATATCAACATTATTAGAAATTTTATCCATATGATTTTAAGTAAAAACTTCAAAGAAATCTCAGGAAGAGATCATAAAAGTAATAATACTACAAAAGAAGAAGCATCTTGTTGTAATTTTTTGCATTACCAATAAGTATAGTGCAATTGTCTTTTCGCTTAGCGACAAAAGGAGAAGCTGCAAGCATATAAATATGTATGTAAAATTGAGAGGATTCGACGAAATCAAATAAATATCATCGAGGAATTTTCCCGACGTCTACGTAGTTACCTCATTCGAAATGCACATCGGGTCCGAGGAGATGAGATAAGAATAAAAGACGCGCAGGATGAATAAAGACCCAACGGCAATAGAACGGGCGAAATATAGCAGCGCTTATTCACTCCAATATGGGTAAACGACCACGGTGTCATTCTTTGGTCGACTGAAGAACGACTAGCTAGTCGACCTAGCCTTCGGCAACCTTGACCATGCGGCTAGGAATCCATTTCACGAACCCGCAAACAATAATGATAATAATCGTACTGATACAAAAACGGAAGCGAGTACTTTGGTAGCTCTTGCTCGAGGCGGTGATTCGTGAGGTTTTTGCGTTCGTATCTAGCTCGAGGGATATTAGATCGTACCCGTTTCAGACTCGACAAGTTGAAATTATGCGTGTAGAAATTGACTGGATATTTATTACACTATTTTTAGATTATTCTGTACTTCTAGACTTCTGTCATACTGTTATGTACGTACTAGAGCAACTTAAGATAATAATTCTATAATTCCTTCTTTATGATCACTTTAAATACCCTTCGATTTCTCGTAATGGACACTCCAAAATTAAATGATTAATGAAATGAAATACGATATGGAAATAATTTCTAACAGAACAAAAAAGAGATGAATATCTCAACACCAGATAAAATTGACACAAAAGATGATCTAAAGAAATCAACGGAAAAAGAAATGTATTCTGCAGTAACGAAAATTTATTAAAATAAAATAATATTGTATAACGAATTATCATATATCTGAAGCTATTGTCCGTTACGAAAGAATATTGAAAAATTAATTTGGTTATTTGTGATTTGTTCAAGAATATTAATATTCTGTATCAACTCGTTTATAATTTTTATTATAAGTTTTTTTAGAGTGTGCTACTGCACAGAAATAAATAATTTGTTTATTAATTAGAAGGGAATAGTTTGATCAATATTCTTTATTTATCGATGAACATCTTGCAAAATATAATTATTGAAATGGGATATTTTTCGCTATATAACGATGCAAAAATAAGAATAAACAACCGAATAGAAGATCGAAAAGATCACAAAAGCTTACTGGGTGAACAATATTGGATATCTGACAACTCCACTTGCTTATTTCAGTTTTGAGATGTTGATAGTTTGGATGAATAAGAAAATATGCATAAAACTTTATTCTTTTTTAAAATTCTCTCCCAACCGGTCTGTCATCTGGTTTTAATGTAGCTACTTAGTAATGTGTTAATGAATTTTTGTTTATTTGTTTATGTTTTTGTACCATATTTAAATATATGATTTTATCACGAGATAAGTGATAAACTTCAGCAAAAGTCTTCTTCACTTTCCGTGCAGTATTGCTGAGAATTGCGAGAATTTCTTCTGAATTGAGCGTGATGATATAATCGTGACGATGACGTCATCGATCAAGATGGACTTTATTCTGTATTTATTCCCTGCAGCCAGGCCTAAAGAAATATTCTTTTCAAAAACATAAAACAATGTTGAACTGACAATCATATTGCAAAAGTACATCCATTTGAATGAGAAACTTTCTCCATTTTTAAGGATCAATTCCATTATTTTCTATTATACAATTGGTTGAGCTTGTTGTATGCGTGTGAATCGAAAAATTCAGTTTCCTGACATAACTCGGAATTCTGCTATTAATTTTCGAGTTCACGAATCGCCAGTGACGAAAGCTAGTTATACTCATAATTGATCATGTTTATTCATTCGACCGACAGCTCGAAATGGTATTCCTATCACGATTAATTAGATATCGAACGAAAGTAAATGTACTTGTTTTCTTCAAGAGTAGGCGCTGCAGCATATTTCAACGTTTAATAGCAGTAGAAATTTTCGCAGATGGAAAATCTACGGTAATTTGTTCGCACTACAATTTAACACGCATTTTTAAAATTGCGAAGTTGAAATGAAGGTTTTTAATATTTTCATTAGTAAAACTAATGTAAATTTTTCCACTAGTAAAAGGCACACTTCATTTTTGTTTATTGCATTGAACACGTAATATCATTCAGTTTCCATTAAATTCAGTATTTTCTTACTATGAAGAAAATTTCACTTAACTAATCATTAAAATAAATTAAACTCTTGGCTTAATGTTTCACGATTTATTTAACAATATGTATAGTCAACATGTTTCGAGCGTTAGCTCATTTTCAAGATTCCATCAGTCTTGAAAATGAGCTAACGCTCGAAACATGTTGACTATACATATTGTTAAATAAATCGTGAAACATTAAGCCAAGAGTTTAATTTATTTTAATATTCAATTATGTTTCACCAAGAGTTAAGCGAGAATTCAATCTCATTAATTAACTAATCATTATTTTGAATATATAAAAATATATCAATATATATAATAACACGTTGTTATATATACAGCGTGTTCATGAATAAGGTACCCAAAAAGAAAAAAATTCGTTAATTTCAGTTTTAGCGAAAAATCATATTTTTCATATGAAGTCTTGCTTGTTCAAATACTCCATAAGAAAAATTAAGTTTAAAAGTTTTATAAACTTGATTTTATATTAACTTTTTACAAAACCTTATGACTTTTTTGAAGAAGTTCACAGATTAACAATATTTTTTCGCAATATGGCTACAAATTATTTTCGAAGTGTCATTTTTTTCAACGATGAAAATAATTCAATGAATAATATATCTTATCCCAATCTTATGAAAAAAGGGAAGAGAAGTGCGTTTAATCAAGGTCCACTTACAGAAAATACTCAATCAAAGCAAAGTTTATCAATTCAAAATAACATTTATTCACACTTTACAGGATTAGCATTAAAGCTCGAATTTTCGAACTTTTCGAAGTTAACTGACTACAATAGAGAAACCAACTCTCCAGTTAATCAAAAAATGAAGAGTTATACCATAGGATAATTCATACGCTTGAATTTGATTCACACCCTTATTGTCATAACATGACGCGTTTCGTCGTTATAACCAACTTCTTCAGGCGTTAACGGACTATGATTTGACGGTCTCCATAGCTTAGTTGGTAGAACAACCGACTATTGTGCGGTAAAACTCGGGTTCGTGCCCTGCTGGCGGCATGGGTCTTTGTGTTTGTCTATGATGTAAGTAGTTCAAATGATGAAATATGTTGGGTAATATACATTGACTACAACAAGCCCAATGGTCGTTCGAAACCGGCGTCAAACTCTAGGTCCAAAGAATTAAAAAAAAAAAATATGATTTGAAATCATACTCTGTTATCATATTCAAACGCGTCACGTCATGACAATAAAAGTTTAACTCAAGTTTAAGTGTTTATATTATCCTGTAGTCATAATGGTTGTGCACTAAGTAAATGCAAAAACCATTTATTAGTTAAATCAACCACCAAACTATAAACCATCAATGAAATTAACTAATCAAAGAATTCGAATTATTCAATGGTGTCTCCGATAAATCTGTATCAAAATTCAATAACCTTAGACGAATAATAATAATTTATCCCCTGTATGAAAAAATGTCAGCAAAATGAGTGAAAGTTTGAAATACATGTTGAATACAATTTCAAAGTCAACTGTGTGTTCTATAAAAATGTAGCCTGTACAGTACTAAACAATGACACGGATAATCAAAAGACAAAGAACACTACAGGAAATATCAGAATTATGATTAAAACTTTCATCAACAGAAACTTTTTTTGAAAGAAAAATTATTTTACAAACTTTAAATTTGTTTTTAATTCGATAACACGAGAGTTTTAACGTACACTTGAATAGACCCAGTGTATGTTGAAGTTCTCGTGCAATTAAAACACGTGTGAAATAATGCTCTTAGAATGTGATAAGTAGGCGTATCAGTTGGAAAAAAGGTTGATATTTATTCTTGCTAGGTATATGAAAGCATTTCAATTATTCAACAGATGGCCTTGGGAATATTTCACTCACTTGATATATCTGGAAGATGAAGTAAAATGTTTTCCTATTTCACTATTATAGTTTGCAAATTGAATTCAAATTCGTAATTTCCTATTACCCAAACGGGCACTTGAGGAAGTATGCTTCCAATACAAAACCATAAGAGAAAACGCTTTATAAAGATCGAAAACGAAAATGAAGTATGTACACTCAAAATTGAACCTTCTTTCTAAAGTCAAGGAAAGGTCGTGATTTGTTATATTACCATACAAACGAGTTGAGCAATTATCAATACCGTTTATGAAGAGGAAAATTCTCAATGACGCACAACTTTTAACGAGTACTTACGTGCATCCAAATATCGAGTTGATTGACTTAATAAACTATCACCCATGGAGAAAATTAATTAGATATTTTTCCATGTTTCAACAGTTTCCAACTGTTTTCTTTTTGCAATGTTCATAATCTTCAATTTTTCGAAACCTACAAAGATGTATGAAATTGAATAAGCAATGAACTAACAATATTAGTACTTCGTTATTTTCCCAAAAATAACTCGATAATTATAGACAATATATGAGTTAGAATTGCTTGAGAGTAGCATTAAATCTTTTATATTCTTTTTTACTAAAACGAAACTCAATAAAAATTCAAAAGTCCAAGAGAAATCAATTTTTCAATAAACTGATAGAAACTGAAACTGATAAAATAATAGTACTGTAGACAAATTATTGTATTCTTTTCCAGTTTTTATCAGTTCGTATGTACTTCGTATGTTCGTAGATACATTTAATTCTCACCAGTATTGAATTCTATGAAAATTGGTCAGTATATTTTGCTGAAAGTATATCTAAATGACAAATTATGATGAATAAATTTTTCATTCAAAATAAAAGTGTTTCATTATCCGGAAAGTTCCCTGAGCTGAACCTCAAACTTTAATATTTTTACGTATAGTGAAAAACTTAATGCACAGTTGAATGATCTTCAAAATAAACCTTAATATCCAAACAGTGTAACATTGGAGAGGATAATATAGGTCGCATTTGCTCAGCGCAATCCCTAAAATAGATAACAGCTAAAAATACAGGAATTATGTAATAAAATTAATGTCTCCTCAAAAAGGTATTAGACTTACCTAACTAACACGTGAAATTAATATTTTGCCTTAATAGGTAATTAGTAAATTCATTTCTGAGCCAATCGTCACCAAGAACAATCCAGAATAAGTGACAGGGTGAAGAATTTCGAGAAGTATTGATTGACTTTGAAATATCTAGTTCAGATGGAAAATATTTTCACTCTCAAGAAATAATTGCAATAAATATCAACGGATGAAACATAGAAAAAGATTTTGACTTCGTTCACACCGGCTATGAATATTTCATAATTGCACCAAACTGTTGAACGCTTTGTGCTGATGAATAATGAGAAGGCCATGAAAAATTGAATTTTCGGTAAAATTGAATCATTGAACACTTCAAACTTTCAATTAATTATTATCAATGTTAATCATTAATATTAATCCTCCAAAAAGTTACCAGAACCTTCGAGGTGCATATATAAGTCCTGAAGAAGATTGTGGAGAAAATGGAAACGCTGGCCAATTGAGTAAAATAAGTTTATTTCGAAGGGATTAATAATTTTAGAACTAAATTCTATCTCTTTCGATATTCCTCGAATCTGTCTTTAGGATATTGTCCAAAATTAAACAGCATTATGTATAAAATTGAAAACAAAAAAGAAAAAAATCAACTTTTCATTCAATTATTCTGGAATCGCAACCCCGGCAGTGCGTTCGAATCAAATCCCGTCAATTTGCCGCATCAAATTGCGACAAATCGGCATGATTTTATTTGCACAAAACATAAGCGACTGCCATTCTCTGTTATACAGGTTTGACAACCATGATCTATTAATTAGTCAGCTTTTTTAGCGGGCATGCGAATTGATTATTTATATTTCATTCGCATTTACAAATTATTGTTGCAAAATACTATGTGTAAGCCGCAAGGCCGACGTGATGAAATGTTTGGATGTTTTTGCTGCATTTCAAAATATTTGGTAGCGATTGATATTCTTGTCCCATATAGAAACCAAGTAATTACAGTTCCTACCACTGTAGAGCGCTATGTGCAGCTGAGGATGTCCACAACTTCACCCTGTGATTTTGGATTCAATTTGTGATGTGGTTGAAATTCAATCATTTATTGTGCAATTATTTTCAGATTACCACCGTTACGCATAAAACTCATTTATAATAAGAATAATATATGAAAAATGTGTACCTCTGTGAGAAATATGTATCGTTTGTTACGACCATATTATGGTCGTCATAATCAACCTGGTGAATCAACAATACGCGTTGTTATCACCAAATTTGTATGAATGTAGATTCCATAAACCAAATGGGGAATTGTATTAGCGAGTTGGTCCTTGGAGTCTCTACTAGGTGGAATAATTCTGTAGTACGAGAACTTTGCCAAGGAACACGAAATTTCAAAGCGGACAAGAGAGGAGGACAATCAATACTGTTGTGCATTAATTTGTATAAAAATGTTAGTGATGCATTTGCTCTCCTGCTCTGCAATGAGATTAAATCGACTCAATTCGTCATGAGTGACTCCTCTGGATAAACTTTATCCTTCCTCCAAACTAAGAATTTCAAGAACCTTCTCTGAATGGGCCCAAGGTGGCGTTGATGGCAAGAGTAAATAAGATGCCAGATCATGCTGCCTTTCTACAACTTAGGTTAAACTACGATTAGGGCATTAGATAGTCCTATGAATGTTGGGGAATTATTGAAAAATTTTACATTGTGTATAAGGAATACATATATTTTCGAGGCAGATGAAATAAGTTGGGTGATGTGTGGAATTAAGAAAAGTTTCTGATGAAAGATTACACCTTATCTCTCTCTATAAGATCTCTGACCTTATCATAACAAGAAAGAACCTGACCACCGACGCTATATAACTTTATTTTATTCAATATAGTCTCTTAGGTATGCAATCGCATAATACGAAGTATTTCTTAGTATAGGTAAGTTAGAGAAGTTATGATAAATTCTTATTTAAAATTTTTGGATTATTTTTATTTTATAGAAGGGGTTCTCTGCAAATACATTAACGTTGAATCCGTAAAAAACGGCCGCACGTTTTTTATCGTTGAATGCGTAAAAAACGGCCGCACGTTTTTTCTTTGAGACAATATTGTGAATATCGATGATACTAATGATTATATAAAATTTCTCGGCGTTTCCATTGACGTTGGTTTAACATGGAAGACACATGTCACTCGATTGTCCGACAAGCTTGTGACGAGTATATTTGTCATCCGCAATGTATCTAATTCGGTGTTGCTCCTTTCTTTGAGTACGTTTCGACTTCAAAGAAGGTGTAACCGATTATTAGGATAAATTGAAATTCGGAAATAGTTATGAATTTTGAAAATAATCTCTCAAATATGGATCTACTATGAAAAAGCTTCTTTTCTTTATCAATCGAAAAAATTATCAAAGAAATATTTCAAAAATTATTTCTAGTATGAAAGGAGTAAATTTTGTTTGTTCAATTGTAAGTATAACTATTTCATATTTCATATTGCTGATGATTTAAAAATATATCGTAAAATCGAAACATATGATGACTGTATAAGCTTACAGGATGGCCTCAACGCCGTTTCTGATTAATGTTACCACAATAAACTCAATATTAATGTAACTAAATGTAACGTTGTCACATTCTCGAAAGGGGAACGACCTATACAATTTTACTACACAATTAACGAAGCCATTCTGACCAGGGTCTCCGAAATTCGAGACCTCGGTATTATATTTGATCAGAAATTCAGTTTTGTATCTTATATAAATAAAACAATTTCAACAGCATCCAAATCTTATGGATTTATTGTGCGTAATTCACTTTTCGAATACAAAAACACTTATACAATCATTTAATGCGCTTGTAAAGAGTATACATATTAGATTTCAGATGTATGATTTGGTGTCCCATTTACAATTCTCATAAAAATCATTTAGAGTCGATACAACGTAAATTCATTAATTATCTAATATGGAGGGAAGATCACGAAGATCAAGAACTGATCTGCTAAAAAGGTTTGGAGTTAAATCACTCGAAGTTGGCAGGGCCTTGCCAACCTCTTACATGGTTATAAAGACTGTC